TGGGTTAACCGCCTCTACACAGAGAGACAGGAACCCTCTCTGGGGTAGGGTCGGTTTGGGAGGCTGAAAATCAGGACACTTGCTAGGAGCCAACAAACCCCTCTGGTCTCTCTGCTACTTCAGTAGCTTCCACTCCCGATGATCTGTTTCCACATGCCAGTCACTCCTGCAGCCTGTGTGGAAAAGCCAGGGACAGATGACCACACTGAAACCCCCTACTAAGGTCTGGTCTACGAGGTAAGTTAGCCACGCTCCCTTTCTTTTCTGATGAAGCTGGGCCATAGAAGTCTTCCGTGAATTGGCTCCATGGAGGGGGGAGGGGGAGCAGGGAGGGAGGGCTGGCTCTATGTGTGGCAGACACCTGAATACACGAGGATTTGAAAGACCTCAAAATATTCTGATTTAGCCGGGCTCGGTGGCTCAGCCTGTAATCCCGTGCCTTTGGGAGGCTGAGGTGAGTGGATTACCAGAGCCCACGGGTTCGAGACCCGCCTGGGCAGCGAGACCTCATCTCTACAATAAATCAAAAAATCGGCAGGGCATGGTAGCGCGCGCCTGTAGTTCCAGCTACTTGGAAGGCTGAGGTGGAAGGATCGCCGGAGCCCAGCAGGTCGAGGCTGCAGTGGCCGGGAGCGGTGTCAGCAACTAAAGGGGCTATAAAAAACAATGGCATAAGTGAAACCTAAGAGGAAACTTGAAGGTACTCCCCAATGACCAAAGGTAGGAAAATACAAGCATCAAAAAAATGATAAATCTACTGAAACATATCAAATATATTACAAAGTTCCTAAGTTCCTCTATTTTATTTTATTTCATTTCATTTTTCATTTTATTTTTGAGTTGGAGTCTCACTCTGTTGCCTAGGATGGAGTACAGTGGCACACTCATGGTCACCCCAGTGTCGACCTGCTGGGCTCTGGTGATCCTTCCACCTCAGCCTTCCAAGTAGCCAGAACTACAGGCCCACGCTACAATGCCCAGCTAATTTTTGATTTATTGTAGAGATGAGGTCTCGCCAAGTTGCCCAGGCTGGTCTCAAACCCGCGAGCTCAGGCAATCTACTCGCCTTGGCCTCCTTATGTGCAAGGATTACAGGCTGAGCCACTGAACTTGGCCTGAATTCCTCATATTTAAAAGAAAAATACAAAAGCCAAAAAATTGGTCATTATTGGAGGTTGCTAGATTTCAATTTATTATTCTCTAAAAATTTAGAAAGGCAAAGAATAAAATATTTATCCTGCTTTTCCTATACAAACTATATTTCAGAGTAACCTAATAGTTGATGAGAGAAAAATTATCTTACAGAATAATTTCAGGTTATAAATTCAGAAAGAATACTAAAATTAGAAAAAAGGACAACCCCTTTGGGTCCCTTCCCACGGTGAGAGCTTTTCAGTCCTCTCAATAAATCCTGCTTTCAAAAAAAGAAAGAAAAATGGCAAATTTTCAACTCCTAATGAAATAATGGATTCTAGACAATGAACATCAATGACTGCTAAAACCATTAGGTGAAAGTTGATGGAAAACTGTATAATGGAGATATTGAAATGACATCACCTGAACCCACTGATCAACTATGACACTGCTAAAAGTAAAACAACAGATATTATCTCCTCCTGATATAGTGCAATATGAAATACATGACACTATGATGTATTCTTGTCAAAATGAGTTTAATCTGAATCTAAAAAGTCTTCAGGGTCAACTTCTATTTTAGAAATATGAGGTATAGGGAAATAATATAAACAGCACCACAAAGAAGCAATTAGACAAATCCAGGTTATGTGACAGAATAATTAACTAGTTTCTTCAAAAAGTCAATGATACACAAAGGAAAAGAGAGAAGGAATGGTTCTAGATTGAAAGAGGCTTCATGAGATGTAAGAACCAATTATAATGTGTGAACACTGTTTTGGTCCTGATTTGAATAAATCAATAGTAAGACATTCTTGAGACAACTGCATACATTTAAATATGAGCTGAATGTTAGATGATACCAATGAATCGTTAGTTTGTTAAGGGCTTTGATGTAAGGGATGATGGCATTTTGGTTATATAAAAAAAAAAGTCAGACAACCCTCTTTTGGGGCCCCTCTCTGGGTCCCATCTCACTGCAGGGAGTTTTCCTATCTTCTAATAAATTCCTGCTTACTCAGTAAAAAAAAAAAGTTCATAATTTTTAGAGTTGATATTGAAGTATGCAGGGGTAAAATAATAATAGAATTTGCTCTTAAATATGTCAGAAAAAAAACTGATGAAGCAGGTAAGGCAAAATAATGTAACACTGAATCTGAGTGATAGATCTACAGAGGTTTGCTGCGTTGTTCTCTTTACATTTAGGTATATTTGAACTGTTTTGTTATTAAAATATTTAACGTTATTAGTGATAATATAGGAGATAAAGACGCATATGTAAGATATTCCATTGAACTTTGAAAAAATGTATTCTTTTTAATAAACAAAAAAACTATGAATGTAAAAATCTTTATTTACAAGTCATTAGGAAAGTTTGTACTTGGGTTTTCTTTGTTAAATTTAACTAAAACTTACTTGCATTTCAGTCTGCAATTGTCCAATTAATGAGAGAGTCTTAACAGCAATAAAACAAACCTATGGTATCAAACAAATAAAAAAGTTACCAAAGATTCCATGTGGCACAAAATTCTTTCTTTCTTTGACTTACTGATTGAAAAACTTGAGCAGCTTTTAAAGGCTGGTGTAAAATGAGATTTCCAAGTTCAGCATCTAATTCAACAATATCAGAAGGATTTATTAAAATATTGAATCGATAGACAGCATAGCTTTGTTTTGAATCTGTGAAAATACACAAACATAAAAGATAGTTATATATAGGAATTTATTTGAAAGTTTCCAAAATAAAGTCACCCTTGCTGAACGTACCATTATAGTACTTGCAATCATTTATAAACTTTTGGAGGCCTCCACTTCTGTCAAGATAGATAAGGGCAGCGTCTTTCATTTTGAGATTTGACATCGTCTCCTAGTTAATGATTCTTCTCTGTAACTAATTGATTAAACCACAGTTGTCAGTAAAGACTACACATGGTGAAACTCACAGAAAAGATGAGAAAACCTAGAAACAAAATAAAATAATGTTATGTTTGAAGCGCTCTTATAGCTTAAACTATTAAACTTAAAATTGAGAGTGAAATAACAGTAGGCAAAATTTTCAACTTAAAAAAAATTCCTACCTAAAGGGAAATGAAACTTAGTTTTCTTTTGCCAAATATCACTTTTACCAATAGTTAATTATGAGTTCCTCCACAAGATGGCAAATTTTAGAACAGGGTCCTCAAAAGTCTCTTTACTGAGTACGTACTTCAAAAAATGCTAGTTGAAATAAACAATATTGGATGATGAGAGTTCCTTGTAGATGTTTAAAAAATGAAAGTGGTAAAAATTGTCTCATAAATTTATTCTAAGTAACAAAATCAGTGGAATGAGTACGAACCTGGGAAATCTGAGAACTCAGTGCTAGACCCAGTATTTCCTAGTTGTTATAGGGAAAACACCTGACCTCTCTTTGCTCAGTATCTTTATCTGTTGGAAATGAAAGGATTGTTTCAGTGACTAAGGCCTCTTCCAGTTTTAAATCTTGTGTCAGTGACCAACATAAATATTAAACCATAGTGTTGAGTAAAGAGTGGAATATATGAAATTAATTTAAAGACAGCAAACACTAACTGAAAACAGTATATGCTAATAATTATAATACAATCTAGGAATAAAATGATTAAGATCGGAGCCTTTCAAGAGCTGCCAACTTAAAGAAGTCAGAAATAATGACTAATACATTTGCTCATTCATTACCAAATACTTATTTGGTATCTATTGTTTATTGGATACTAGACTGCCCTTAGCCACTAAGGATACACAGATGAGTAAAATGTAGGTCCTATCCTTCCAAAAGTGTACATGAGGAAAGACTATATATGTAAACAATCACATGACAGTTTAAGTGCTATAAAAGAAATATGAATATACTAGGAAGCATGAAAGGAACAACATATATTAAATATTTCACAAGCATCCTTGTGTATGGGACATATTTTCTATTGTTTTAGGACCTTTTGTTTGAAGACAGTGAGGTCATAGAGAAGATGTAGATTCTACTTTAAAGGTGATATTTGATAGATGAATATTTCACTAATTGGAGAAGAGGTGAAGGGAAGGAGGAGAAAGTGATCTAGAGATAGGGGTCACCCTCCATCCCCACTATCAGTCCTACACTATTGGATCCACATCAGTGCTCCCTACAGTTCAGACTAGTTCCTAAAGAAAAGTCATTGAGGCGTTCCTTTTTGCTATTATATAAAGGTGAAACTTCAGAGTTTCTCTGTTGCCATAAGCACGATGATCTTGAAGTGCTGTGTTGTGTTCAGGACACCACCTCTCTGCTTCATTATTAGGTTTCCAGGGCTGAGTGAAGGGATACGACTGATAATGAAGTGGTTTGAGTGAGGTCAGATTATGAAAGCTTTGGAAGTCCATGATGATTATATAGACAAAGGGAAGTCATCAAAGTTTTTAAAAACTGGGAGTAACACGGTCAGATTCTCATTTTGGAAAACAGTGCTTGCAGTCAACGTGGAAAGTAGATTGGAATAGTGGAAGACCCCACCAAGTTTCTAGCTAGTGCCATGTTGCTAAGCGACGGATAGGCCCATCCGGAGCATCAGGAACGAAATGGAATGGAGAAGATAGATTCTAGAATTTTAAAGACTTCACCAGTGTCCGTAGACCATGGAGGAGAAAGAGCAATCAGAAGACAAGTGGGTTTTGTTTATGGGTCTGGGGGGATGCCACTGCTCTCACGGAGACTGGGAACCCAGAGAGAAGCGTGGAGAAATAAGAAGTTCATTTCAGATATGGTGACTGTGGCGGGCCCTTGGGACGCCCCGAAAGACACAGGCAGGAGGAGGGCGACGTAAGTCAGGCCTGGGGCTCAGGGCGTCCCCAACAGCTAGCGTTCAAGTCCGCGTGTCACCATGGAAAGCGGAGGTCCTGGGCATGGATGCATTTTCAAGGAAGGGGATTAAACGGAGGAAAAGACCTGAAAGCCTGTGGGAAAACACGAAATACGCGGAAAAGGATAAAATTCGAAGTCTCTAAGTCTCTCCCCACGGCCTAAGGGAGTCAAGCGTTGCTTCACTCAGAAAAGGCGCGGATCGTGTGTTCTCTCCTCGCCCGTCGGCCCCGAAGATGAGCTGACGAGAGGAAGACCCGCAGGAAAACACCTCACGACCAAGCGGGTGACCGCAAATCCGACCTCACACGCTGGGATGCAGGGTCCCTCCCAACCACCGCAGCAACCTCTCGCAGCGGGACCCCCAGCCCCGTAAGCTCAGCACCCACCCGGCGCGCGGCAGGTTCGCGTGCCGCCGTGGGCGTCGCCGGCGCGGGGCTCTAGCGCGCATGCGCGCCCTCCCAGCCGTGGGCGGCGCGCGCGGGGGCTGCCGGGACCGTCCGCGTCCTCCTCTGTCCACCGCTGTAATTTCTTCACTCTCGCTCCCTCCCAGCGAAGGGAAAGAAGACAGGGCTGCCTCTGGTTTTCGTTGTTATCGCAGGTTAAGAGTGCCCGTGCCTGTGGGAATGCAGAATGGCCTGGTCACTTTGGAAAACCGCAGTACGCCCTCAAAGGCCTAAACAAGAGGTTATCACCCCTCAATTTTACCGCTATATATGTGGCTATAGCTGTAGCTATGTTGACACCCAAAATGACTGAAAACATGTCAGCACACGAAGTCATATAGGCTGATTCCAGACCTTTGCAATTGTGAATTGTGCTGCCATGAACATGCAAATGCAGGTCTTTTTTTCATAGTAGTCCCAAAGTGGAAACAACTTAGATGGCCATCACTGATCAATGGATAAATGTGGTGCAGCATATAATGTAATTTTTTGGCCATAAAACGGAATGAAATGCTAATACATGCTATAACATGGATGAACCTTGAAAACACTATGCAAGTGAAAAAAGTCAGACACAAAAGGCCACATATTATAGGATTCCATTTATATGAAATGTCCAGAATAGGCAAATCTATATACAGTGGGTGCCAAAAAAGTATACACATTTTTTAAAAAGGAGAAATTATAATAAGATGAATACAAGTCGCGTTTGACTTTTGTAATTACAAGAGGTGCTCAAATGGTTACCATCAGCATCCAGACACTTCAGAGTATGGTGAACATCTCTTAAAATGTGTATTTGGGGTTTTTTTTCTTTTGTACCCCTGGTATAAAGTAGATTTGTGGTTGCTTAGCGTTTTGGGGGAAATGGAGAGTGATTCTAATGGGTATGGGGTTTTTCTCTTTTTATATTGTGGTAAAATATACATAAAATGTACCATTTAAAGATTTTTTTTTTTTTGGAGATCTCACTCTGGTCTCCCAGGGCAGAGTGCAGTGGTATAGTTATGGCTCACCACAGCCTCAACCTCCTGGCCTCGGTCTATCCCCTCACCTTAGCCTCTGGAATAGCTGGGACTATTGGCATCCACCACTATGCCTGGCTAATTTTGTGATATTTTGTAGAAATAAGGTCTGGCTACCTTGCTCAGATTGGTCTTGAACACCTGACCTCAAGTAATCCTCTTGCCTCAGATTTACAAAGTGCCGGGATTACAGGTGTTAACCACTGTGCCCAGACCCATTTTAACCATTTTAAGTTCAGTGGCAGTAAGTACATTCACATTGTTGTGCAATCATCACCATTATCTGTTTCTAGAACTTTTTTCATTTTCCCAAACTGAAACTCAGTACTCATTAAAGAATAATTCCCCATTCTTCCCTCCTCCAGCCCCTGACAATATTGTTCTTTGTAACCTTGAATTTGACTACTTCGGGTACCTCATATAAATAGAATTCTACAGTATCTGTCCTTTGGGGTAGATATTCAGTAATGGGATTGCTGGATCAAATAGTAATTTTATTTTTAGTTTTTTGAAAAATATCTTCCATAGTGGCTGTACTAGTTTACAGTCCCACCCACAGTGTCTAAGAGTTTCCTTTTCTTTGCTTTCTCACCAACATCTTATTATTTTTGTCTTTTTGATAATAGCCATTCTAACTGTGGTAAGATAATATCTCGTGGTTTTGATTCCCATTTTCTCTGGTGATTAGTAATGTTGAGTTTTTCATATCACTTTTGGCTGTTTGTTTTCTTTTGAGAAATGTCTGTTCATGTTCTTTGTCCAACTTTTTTTTTTTTTTTTTTTTTTTTTTTTTTGAGTCAGAGTCTCACTCTGACCCCAGACTGGAGTGCAGTGGCATGATCACAACAGTCATAGCTCACACATTGCCCATTTTTTAATGGGCTTACTGGATTTTTTCCTGTTGGGCTGTTTGAGTTCCTATATATTCTGGATATTAGTCCCCTGTTGGACGAATAGTTTATAAATATGTTCTCCCATTCAACAGGTTGTTTCTTCACTCCTGATTGTTTTGCTGTGTAGAAGCTTTTTAGTTTAATTAACTCCCATTTGTCTATTTTTGCTTTTATTGCCTGTGATTTTGAGGTTTTAGTCATAAATTCTTTGCCTAGACCATCCAGGAGAGTTTTTCTTTTTTGTTTTTGTTTTTGTTTTTCTTTATTTCAATAACATTAGGGGATACAAATAGTTTTTGGTTACATGGATGCACTGTATAGCAGCAAAAAAGTCTGGACTTCTACCCCCATCTATGCACATTGTACCCAACACGTGATTTTTCATTCCTCTACCCCTTCCTACTTTCCCCCTACTGAATTTCCAGTGTCCATTATACCATTCTTGATACCTCTGCAGACTCTTAATTCAGCTCCCACTTATAAGTGAGAACATGTGGTGTTTGGTTTCCTGTTTCTGAGTTAGTTCACTTAGGATGAAAGACATTATTTTATTCATTTTGACAGATGATTAGTATTCCATGGTCTATATATAATCATATTTATATCAGTGGATCATTATTCACTAATCAGTTGATGGGCATTTAGGTTGATTCCAGACCTTTGCAATTGTGAATTGTGCTACGATGAACATGCAAATGCAGGGTTTGTTTGTTTGTTTTTTAAAAACAACAATCTCTGTTCCTTTGGG